TAGTTGATAATCAAAGTTATCCAATACAAATTTGGGACACTGCTGGACAAGAACGATTTAGATCTGTTTCACGTGTTTTCTTTAATGATATAAAAGGGATATTTATTGTGTTCAGTTTAGATAATATGGAGTCATTAAACCATTGTAAAGATTGGTTAGATGACTTCTATAGCCTTGTTGACCAAAGCAAAAATATTCCTGTTGTATTAGTTGGAAATAAATTAGACTTAATTACTGATGAAAATAATGTTCGTATTCCTGAAGACATCATTAAGAAATTTGTTTCTAATAACGATATTCCATTGTACATTGAAACCTCATCCAAGAAAGATATTAATATTGATTCAGCCTTTCAAGAAATGGTATCTATTATTATCAAAAGAAATCTTCATATAAATGAAAAAAAGAATGAGATTGTTGAAATAACACAAGAACAAGAGAATATTCCAAGAAGTAATCAGCAAACAACCAATGACTGTTCTTGTTAAATTTTAATCTTTAATAAATCAATATTACAGTTATCATTTTTTGTTTGTAATAAAGAAAATAAGAAAGAGAGTTAGTTAAGAAGAAAATACAATGTTCTATTTTAATCTATATTTGTTCAAAATTATAAGATTAATAAAATTTATTATAATAAATTATAATTCTTCAATAAGGCAAAAAAAAAGAAATGGTAGGCATGTGACTATCATATAGGCTAGTAAGAGGGAAACTATTGGGAATAGGCAAAGGAAGGACTGTTTGACTTGGTAAAAAAACTGATGAAATTAGAATTAGAAGAGAAATGGAAAATACCACATTTGTCTCTCTTTATAATGTTGAACAAAAAGATAATAATAATGAAAATGATCAAACGTCAATTAAGATAGATGGAAGTTCATCTTCTTCAAGTGAAGAAAGTTTTCAAGGTTTTAGTTTTAGTACAATACTTCTTCCACATCATTCAAATGAAAAAGAAGAAGGGTTTGTTGATATTGATGGATATATAACTCCATTTGAGAATGAAATAAATATTTTTAAACAAATACTGTATTGTGTATTTCCATGTTTAATACCACCATTTATTTCTAATAGAAGAATAGAAAAATATATAAGAGCAACAATGTCTATATCTTTTATTTTCACATTATTATTGATTGGAGTATTTATTGGAGAGTTATGTGTATGTGGAGTTGCATCGTTCTCAATAAATCCAGGGATAGGTCCAAGTGCAGATAAAATAATAGATTTTGGAGCAAAATATTCATATAATATAACGTTTGTTATTATAGTTTTTAGAAGAATATATATCAAATTAATAAAATAAGAAGAAAAATTAATTAAAATAGTCAAAATTATCAAATATATCGACTTTTTACATCATTATTTCTTAGTCCATCATTATTTGGGTTAATAGTTGAGATTATCTTTGCATTAAGATTTTTCTTATATTTTGAGCATAGATGGGGAATAATATTATTCTTTGTTACATATATTATTAGTGGAGAGGCAGGGGTACTATTAAGTTGTGTATTAAGTTGTAATAATATTGCAGTATGTTCTATGGGACCATTTGCTGGATTAATATCAGTATTTCTTGTTGACTTAGCATTAACAAACCAAAGTTATAAAGTACAATTTAAAAGAGCAGTTTTTACATCATTAATAGGTCTTTTAGTAATAGTATTTGCACAATTACTTCCATTACAAGATTTTACATGTTTATTAGGAAGTGTTATTGTTGGATTAATTCTTGGAGTATTATATTTTGTTAATTTAAATCCATGGTTTTCTCAACAACCATTATTACTACAGACAATTGTTTATGTTTCATTGGTGACATTTCTTTTAACATATTTTATTGTTTTTTGTTTATTATTATTCATATGGATTCAACCTTTACAAATTACTATATCAGCTCAAACAAATTGATTTGTTTTTAAATGTACTTTTCATTAATTATGATTAATTCTTTAATTTTTTCTCTTTTTTTTTTATAAAAAAAAACAAATTTAAAATTGTAAAAATATTTATTTATTTCATTGATTTCTTTTGTAATGCTAATTGTTTTAAGTATTGAACTCTTTCAATACATTGTTCTTTGGTTTTACCTTCTACCATTTGAGCTATTTTATCCCATTTATCTTGTTCTTTATAACCATTTAATTGTTTAATACCATTTTGTAATTGAATTTGTTGTTCTTTGCTCCAATCAAGAACATTATTATTATTTTTCTTTTGTTGAATATTTGTATGCATTTTTGCATTTAAAGCTTTTGCATATTCAATAACTTGACTCTCATTCTTTGTTTTCATATATGTTGCAATTCTTCTGTATCTTCCTTCTGTACCAACAGGAAATTTTTTACATCCTTTTTTAAATAATTCAATATCATTAGAACTCCATTCTTCTAATACATTTCTATGAAGTTGATGTTCTCTTTCTTTTTCTTTCTTTTCAAGGTATTGCATTGTTTTATGTCTCAAAAATTCTATTGCTGATTGTTCTTGTAATGATGATATAGTATTTAATTCATCATCTTCCATTTGTACAATTACATTTTTGATCCCACATTTAAAATGTTCATTTTCTTTCTCTAAATTAAATAAGTTTAATAATCGACTTTTTTTTTCTTTTCGTTCTTGTGTTAATAATTCATTTTTCTTTTGTTCTTCTATTTCTAAAATTCTTCGTTCTTCTTCAATCTTTAATCGTTCTTGTTCTTTTTGAAGTTCTATTAATTTTCTTTTTTCTTCTAACTCTCGTTTCTTTCTTTGTTTCTCTTCTTTTTCTCTCATCTTCTTTTTGATTATTCTAAAGTCTCGTTTATATGCCATATCAACTAATTTTCGTATTTTCAACCCTTCTTCTTTTCGTTTCTTTTGTGATTTTTTTTCATTCTCTTTCATCATCCATCTTCTTTCCTCTCTACATGTTGCTTCTTCTATATTATACATCTCATCTAAAGGAGGATCTCTCCATGATTTAAATGAATACCAAAACGTATAAAATTTATTTACATCTTCATCAGATGATGTTTCATCACCAAAGTCAGGAACATTTTTATTAATGGACCATTTAGCATTCTTTTTAAAGTATATCCCAAAAATAGTATAGAATTCATTTTCTTCATATTGTCTGTCTTGTGGTAGTTTGTCATCAGTATTATCTGAACTGTCATATTGCCTTCTTTTTTCTGGATTTGATAAAATGTTATATGCCTCAATAATTTGTTTAATTCTACTATCATCTCCATTATTTTTATCTGGATGATAAATTAAACACATTTTCTTATATGCTTTTTTAATATCATCATCAGTAGCTTCCCATCTAACAGTTCCTAAACCAAGCATTCCATAATAATCTCCTGTTGTAATACTTTGGACATGTGGTTTAAATTTGCTACTAAAATCTTTTTCTCCATTTTTATTGTTACAACATCCTTCTTCTTGTTTAATTTCATCTTCTTCTCTGTTAAACTTTTTATTTTCATACGTACAACACATTTGATTGAGTAATTGTTCATACCTTTCCCCAGCATGTTCGCATTGTCTTTGTTGTTTTATTTCACACCCTTTTTTGTTATTGTTTTTATAAACATGTTACAACTTATGAACAAACAACTTAATGAACATAAAACAACATCTCCTTCATAGTCTTGTGGTACTTCCTTCAGTAATTTAATCATTGTATTTTTCATTATTTTTGTTTTTAAGGGTTTGAAAATAACATTTTTAATTTATTTTGTTATTAAAAAACAAAATATATCACAAATTCATCCAACATATCAAAATATGTTTTTGTAGTTGACAAGTACGAAATAACACTACGATAATACAGGGGTCATTCTAGATTACAGGTTTTGTCAAAAAA